CCTTCCCAGCCCCCTGTAAGCTGGAACTTTCCTAAATGGCGGTAACAGAAAAAGCAATAGCAGGGTATAGGGCAGGTTAATGCCTCCCTCTGGGACAAAGGCTGGGTCTGATATATGGCACTGACTGATTTTACTGATGATGTCCTAGTGATAACAGGAGGTTACCTACTTAGTACTACTGCTGTTACATCGGTTACTTGCTTCTGGCTGGCAGGCTACCAGCTCCCCCAGCAATAGATGGTTTTGCTCTTATGCTGTCGCTCTTCTTCAGTAAATGCTTTCTGTTAGAAATCAATCTTTTTGTACTGTACAGGTTTTAGCAGAAGCTCATACTCTCTTTTGGCATGGGTAATTTTGGAAATGCAGGGCAAAATTTTGCTTTCATTTTGCTAAATCATGCTGCAAGGGCTATCTATGGTAATCTTTGTGAAAATATATGCAGTGATACTATGAGAATAATTCAAAATGATTATCACTAGCAGTTGGTAACTCAACTTCTGTCCTCCGTCCTTGCCACCCCACTGTGTCAATAAATTGGAAGGGCTGCCAAAACATGCAGAATTTGTCTATCTTAATTTTTAGACACACCTGGCTTGGGTGTAGGGCCAAGGGTCATGACACTAGTGGGAACCTGGAGAGGTATACCCTTCTCTTCTGGAAGTTCAAGAAATGCAAAGAGAACATGACTGCTATCCCACACTTGGGATCAGGTCTAACTGACCTCAGTGTAATACCAAACTTTGACTACTGTGAAAGTTCAGTCATATCTTCTGGAAATGCTTCCATTATTGTCAGTCCCTATGCAGATATGTAATTGGATTGGAAAGCCTCCTGCCCCCCTCTTCCTAGTTAAGCACACAGCATCTAGGCACAATCTTCCCACTGGATTTTCTGCTAGTCTTCTAAAAAATGCAGAGACAGCTGATATATCTGTTTTCCTGCATTCAACATCTACAAATAGAGGGTAAACAGTGTTGTTATACTGTTACATTATATGATGTATTGATGGTTGTAAAGCCTTGATGGTGATAAGGAAGTGCTCCACAAGCTCTTTTAAAGTCTGCTGTATTACAGCTGTACTGAACAAAAAGCCACCAATAAAAATGATTTCAGCGACTTTTGGTGGTATTTTCACTTTCGGTCATCACAGAGTGCTATTGTCACCTCACTACACTAGTACACATTTGCCATCTTTCAACACAGAGTGACAGCACTGCTGTAGAAGAATCCTGCTTGGTATATCTGATTATTTACGAAGAAAATTCCAACATTTGTAGAGCCATTTGAATGAAAGTGATGCAAGACCATTAACCAGTAGTACATAAAGCATATGGGTAGTTTTCAGGAAAGTGTGGTAAATGTTGACTCAGTATGTAAGAAAATTTCCCAAGGCAGTGCAGGCAAGTTGGGATGACACTGTACATTTCCCACTTTTACTATTTTTATTATTTTACTAGAGAAACTCCCCAAGAAATCATTTCCTGGAGGTGCCATTTGTCAGAATAATTTTTAAAAGTACCTGCTTAATAAGCTACATATGTTGAAGTATGAGTCACAGTCCCAGAGCCATATACGCTTCACACTTCCTACTACACTTCTGCATAGTGCAAACAGGTTTCATGGCAGCAGTACATTAAATAAATTATGCCATCTAAGAGACAGTGGTTATGCATGCATTTTCTTTAAATGGTAGCATTAAAACACAGTTGGAAAGGCAATCTGGGAAGAAAAGGGGGATCTGGAGAAAGAGGGAGTGAAACAGAATTCACTGAATTCACAGACTATGTGGGTGGAAGGACCACAGTAAAGTCTGGCTTCCTAACATAAACCATAGATCTTTTCTGAATTAACTGTTGTTTGAAATGGGTTACCATTCTAAAAGATATGCCCATCTTCATTTAAAAGTTGCCAGTACCAGAGAATCCTCCCCATATCCTTTGATGACTTGTTCCAATGGTTAATCACCCTCACTTTTAAAGTTTTACATCTTATGTGAAATGAATATTATGTAAGTCATGATGGCTCAACACCCACAATCCTTTTAAGGTGCATAGGGTAGGGAAGGAGAGATGGGATCACAGGCTGATTTTTCAAATATGTAGTGTGTTTAGAACTACTGATCAAAGCACCAGAAGGAAGTTATTTTTGCTTGTCTGACTGCTTTCTCCTTTCTTCTATCTCCATTATTTGTCATATTTTCTTTTGGGGAAATTTTCAGTTTAAGGGTATTTTTCTGTTTGGCTTAGAAAAGCAGAGTGGAGAACTGTGACACTATGACTTAAAATAATCTGCCCTGCCTCATGCTACCAAATGCCAAGGAACTAGAAAATATCCTATCCACAGAAGTGCATAAACTGTCTTTCCAATGAAAGAAAGAATGCAGAATAAAGAAACAACATTATTTTGATGAGTGCATATGGATGGAATAAGGGCACACATGGCAGAGAACAAGCCCAATTCCTTGCAATACCTGTCAATTGAACAGCATGCCATTCTCTTCCTCGAAATCTGATAGATTTTTTAGGATCCAGAGAAAATAAGTGATGTTTTATATACTTCGCTAGTTTGTGAGCCTGGTAGTATTAAGATTTCCACTTGAAAGAATTACAGTATCTGAAACAGTCTTGAGGCCACCCCTAACAGGGGACAACAAGTAAGGAATGTTATTGTGTCTTCATGTTCACTGAAACAAAGGTCTCTGTTTTGTAATCTAGAAATCTTACATGTGAACATTTCTTACTGCAATGGTAAAAGAGAATCATTTTGCTAGTATCAGGATGCCTACCTTTCCAAGCAGGATAGGAAACATTAGTGAATTGCAGCTACTGAATTGCATTGTACGGTTCAGTAAATGTGAATACTGGTCTTTCACTCAACAGTAGTTTGCCAGATGAAAGAAAGAGAACAGTGAAGACGTATGTATGGCAAGAAAAAAATCATTCTGGAAAATATTATTTCATGTTAGTTCCCTTTCTTATCTTAATTCAGTAATGATAGCTGAGATATGAAATAGAGTGACTTATTTAAAGACAGCTGACAGGACTCCCACATTTGAGAGAAATGATCCTTCTCTCCTGTTTTGCATCTCTATAAAGCCCTTCTCTTTATATTAAGACAAATTCTCGTCTGTCTCACACAACACCCACTCTCCTGAAGTCAGTGGGTTTCTGAGTATAAGACAGTTCTGAGTTCGGCAAATTTCTCATGATTCTTCTCCAAACACCTTCCTATTTTACCTTTACAATGCCTCCCTGATGTCTTTCACTCTCTGTCCACCCCTGTCCCTGCTGTTTTTATTGTTACCTTTTCTCCATCCCTCAGTGTTTCGTTTTTCTTATTGTATGCAACATGTGAAGTTATGTGATCACAAATAGGAGACTTCCTCAGTGATTATAAGTGGAAAAGGAAGAGGACAAGCAGCAGTGACAAGGAAGGTTATTCTATCAGATAATTTATCTATTAGAAGATCATACACGCTATGAAAATATTTGAGAATTCCTGTGCTAGAATACTAGACACAAAAATAACTAAATTGAGAGTTTAAAAAAAAATCTGTAGAGCAAAGATGAGTATTCCCAGCTCAAAAACCACCACTTAATTCATCTGATTTTATACTGGCAGCTTTGGTCTCAGATTTCTGCGATCAATCTATTAACCATATGCTATGGAATTTTACTAGAACTTATTTTAGCCACACATGAAGAACATCATTTTCCACTTACCTTTTTATAGACAGAAACATAGGATTATTCTTCAATGAAGGGCCCAAAGTGTCTCAGCTAAATAAAATCCTGGTGATACTACTATTTCAAATAAGCTTACAGAATGGTTAGTTAAAATGTAAAAACAAAATCACCTGTAGGGCAATCGTGGTGTTCTTCGCAGGATATTTCCCCACCAGTCCTTGTTCTTTGCGTTTCTTGAATTTCCTAAAGTAGTCCTGTATCAGGAAGGTGGCATAGAACTTCCCCACGGTTACCTCATCATCTAAATGAACAGACCAGACAGATCTCTCCCAAATCAGCACATTTCATCAATAGCCTACATACTCACATCTGATTCAGGAAAAAAAAGTGTGATGGGTGCAATAGACACTAGTTCTAGCTTACAGTAAGGTAGCCTACATCTAGCACAAAGCAATTTTTTTAGCAAGCAATCTAGGCCCAAAATTAGAACTGATGAACTAAACTAGTCTTTAATATAGAAGAAAATAGAATATTTTACTAAGTTTCATGAAGGTACCTTTTTATTAAAACCAGAAGCTTGTTTGTAACTGCAAAGGACTAAACTACTGGCTTTGGCTACTTGAAACAAATGTATACATGAAAGGTACTAGAACTGGCATGCACTTTGATCCAGAAGAGTGACTCACTGAAAAAAGATAATTTCCTGTCCCTAATTTATTCTCACTCAGTGATTTCCTACCAAACCAAACATAATTAGCTAACAAATCAAAATCAGGTTATTCCAATTGTACTTCAAACTGGGCATGTCTACACGTGCTAGCAATAAATTCCGGCATGTATCGCACTGGAGTTTATTGCTCCCAGGTACACCATTTGAAAGTGTACCCAGAACCTCAGCACGTTGAGCTGGGTCACAGCTGCCCCAGCTGTCAGGAGGTCCAGAGGGTCAGCCTGCCAGCTGATGGCTGCTCCTACCCAGCTCAACGTGCTGTGGAGGGGGGGGGTGGGGGG